CCTAGATAGCCTTTAACAGCAGCTAGAGGAGGATTACGTGTTTGTACATTTACTGTTTAATTATATACTAGCAGTTTACTGGCCGTTTTCCACTCCTCCATACGTAACTAGGTGCCCACCCACCCGTTACTTACGAACAGCTGTCAGATTGGTATGATAAATAGATGTGGTGGCAACCTGATGATATTGATGATTGTTTTGTCTTATTTCAAATGTGTTCAGCTGTGTCCAAGTTCTTTGGCTAGTGTGCCAAGCCAGGTGGTCCCTGCTCGATTGTACAGATCCGACCTCACCAAAGCTCGTTCTATCTGACAACAGCCCTCCTCCGGGACGCCGTAACGGGCAATCGAACGCCTTGCATACCCTTGGCACAGTTCCTCGTCGTCGGACGGGATCTCCCAGTTGTCCCGCTCTGGGAGACCCCTCCTGGTCAGCGGGCACGGGGTTGGGACTGGAGAGGAAGAGGAGGAGGAGGAGGAGGAGGAGGAGGAGGAGACGGCGGAGTTGATTTCGTCGCAGTTGCTCAAGGGCATCTCTAAGACGTTTTGGAGCATGTTACAGATATTCACATCTTTCGAATGTATAGAAGCATTCAGAGAGTGCTCGAACACCACTCCTGATCTTGCTAGACTTACATCACCATGACTCTTGTGCTGCACAACGCATGGTTTTACGCAAGGAGCAGTGCAAAGTGAAAGGACGAGAGGTAGTCCTTGATGCAAAAGAGACTTGTGTTGGGGCTACTATACTATGCCGATTACTGCGGTGGTGCAAAGATTTACGTAGAGCGCTCCTGACTAGCTTGTAGGGTGCTTATGCTCGTATCCCAACGGCTATAAACGAGAAGCATCTTGGAAATGCAGCACACCGATATAAATGCAACATGGAGTAAGCGAGAAGGTCTTAGTAGGGCTTAAATCTGCGAATTGATAGACTGAGGAACAATAATCGATAAGTTCAGGGACGTGATACAGGTGTAGCGGAAACAAGGTCTGCGGATGTCAGGTTTGTTACCTCTCTTCTCCTAGAACAGCCTGTAACGAGCTCGAGAGTGAGATTCCTCTCATCCCGAGTTTAGTCTAGAAGCCCCAGTCACCTTGTTGCTACCATAGAAATATCGGTTTGAACTACCGTGAGTATCGCTCTCTACAACGTCTGTATAAGAGAATTTTAATGCTACATCGCAAAGCGTATTGGATCGTTTCTGATTTGACCGACTTATTCTTCCGCTGTAAGTGTCATCGTGCAAATGAGAGAGGGGAATGATGAGATTGTTGTGTCGCCGTTGATGGCCTCGTAATCAGCGAATGACTGTAGCTTGCATCAGAATACCCCGTGGTGCCCCAGCTCGCAAGCCTTGGAGAAATGATCCGTGATGCTCATGAAAGCATCGTATTATTGTCCTTGGTGCTCCACTCCCGGCAAGGCGGTGACCATGTCGAAGTTGATGGTATGGAAAGGTATTGGGGGTGTCTGAATAGGCTCAATTCGCCGAAATCCTTCTGGTGTTGGGTTTGGTGTCGTTGGCAGGCAGAACAATGCGCGATGTACAAGCGGAGTCGTCTCTGAAGGTTTCGCACAAAGAAACCTCTGACCACCGCGTTGTAGGTATAGGTTGTATATTTGCCTCTTTGACGGCTTCGGTCTCCGTGCAGGGTGGGGTCGTTTTGAACATGGTAGAGACATACGCCGAAACCGCGCGCTCGTGAAGCATCCACATCGAGGAACAATGGTCGGCTTGGATCAAAGTGAAAGAGGAAACGCCCATCCTTGAATAGTTCCAGGATCGCCGAATAGCTCGCGAGGAGCTCTGGTGTTGGTTCGATGCGGGTGTGTGCTACATAGTGTGCCCGAGAGTGTGGGGGGTGGTACGGGATTGTTTGCCGGGATTATAGAGGAATTCAAGATTTTGACAACGCACGAGTTTGGGTGTGGTTTGTTTTTACTGGTGTCGTGGATTGAAGGGGTGGGTAATGGGATAGTAGATGTAATTTGTAATTATAATGTATATACAATGTGCTGCTTACCCGTGAGTGCGTGTTTTATATGTGTAGTGATCAGGTGTATGATTAGGTGTTAGAAGGGGTGCAAGAGGCGAGTAGATTTAGTAGGTACACTCTTCAAGTGTTGTTAACCCTACGTGTCTAGCTCCTAGTTACGCTTAGAGTACTGTGCAATGCTGCCGCGAGGTTCGCCTGGGCGTAAATCAGTTGTGATTCGAAGAATTAGCCATCTCTAGCTTTCATGATCCGTGATGAATAACGTGTCATAAGTTATGAATGACTCTGATGATGGTGGTGATGTCCGCTCTCACTTGAGGTCATTGGTGGCGCTGCTGTGGCTGGCGCTACCCATGCTCATATAAGCTTGGCATACAAGGTCCCCTTGGCAACAAGCGACTTGTTTGTTGTTCGCGACCCGCCTAACTTCAACGCTCCAGCACACGGCGCGACCAACGTCCACCATAACCAACACCACCGATGTCGTCCTCAGTTCACGCAGACCCGCCGCCGCCGATTGTGGTAGACCCTGAGGGACTGCAGTATGAGGTCGGCCCGCAGCTCGGAAAAGGCGGTTTCGCCATCTGCCACAGCGCCCAGGTCCGCCGCCACAATGCCGTCGTCGCCTTGAAGATCGTCCGCTCCACCATGGACTCGCCCAAGCTCCTGCAGAAGTTTACGAGCGAAATTCAACTGCACTCAAAGATCTCGCACCCCTCAATAGTCGAGATGTACCGCGCCTTTTCCTTCGGAAGCAGTACTTACGTCGTCCTTGAAATCTGTCCAAATGGGTCCCTCGCCGATGCCATCAAAAAGCGGAAGTACTTCACGATGCCCGAGATTCGTCGTTTCATGATCCAGACGTGTGGGGCTGTCAAGTACTTACACCAACGGGGCATTGTCCACCGAGATTTGAAGACCGGCAACTTGTTTTTAGACAGGGATATGAACGTTAAATGCGGGGACTTCGGTAAGTTGCAAGATGGCAGGTAGTCTTCTTCGACTAACTACTCCAGGTCTCGCTGCTTTGGTGCTCAGTCCCGGAGATTACGGGGCGATCCGGCGAACGACGATGTGCGGGACCCCCAACTACCTTGCGCCGGAGGTGCTGGAGAAGACTGGGAAAGGCCACGACGAGAAGGTCGACCTGTGGGCCATTGGGATAATGATGTGCGCGACTTCAACGGCTGATCATGTGTGCAATGGCTGATAAGCTCAGGTATACGCTCGCTGTCGGGAGAGCGCCGTTCCACGCCGCAAAGAGGGAAGACATATATCGCAAACTGAAAGCACGCGAGTACTCCTGGCCGGACCTCGCCAAGTTCCCTAATGAGATTACCGACGAACTACGGGACATCGTGTCCTTGCTGTTGGTGCATGAGGATGAGCGCCCTACACCCGATGAGATCGTCAATCATCCATTCTTCAGACTGGGCTACATACCATTGACGTTAGATGCCAGCTGCACATCCAAGGTACCAAAGTGGCCGAGAATTTGCCCTCCTAGCGCCTCGACGATTCGTAGGGGCTACACCGACGAATGGTATACACTTTGCAAAGAATCTTCTGTTGGAGAGTATGAACCAGGGAAAAGATTCGGGGCATATGGTAGTAGGAGAAACAAGTCAGTGGCAAGGGACTGCCAAAAAGAGATTGAAGCGGGAAAGCAGCCGATTGTGCCTTTCGCCAAGGACACCATATACTTGCCTTTTCCGCAACGAACACCTTGGCCGCATCAGTCTGGCGGAGGGCTCAGTGAGATCTCGGAGGAGAAAGAGACATCATCGGAGGGCCAGGCACTGGTAGAGACGACTGCGAACGATCGATCCAAGGGGCGTCTGCCGCGAACGAGGAAGCGTGAGCAAGTATTGTCTGACGCAAAAGAGAATGACGACCCTCTCCAAGAAAGTGAGCCGCTCACGAGGCCTTTGAGCAAGCAGCCGACAAGGATGCGAGCAGCACGAAAGACCTCCAACAACCGTATTGCTGCGGCTACTGCGACCACGGCGAATTCGGTTGCGGTTCGGGCGCCACCAAAGGAGATACAACAGGCGCAACTGGTCAAGCCTTCGGCGGAGATCGTGAAGGAATCTAACCTGGAGGAATCGCGCCGAGTGCGACCAAGTAAGCCAGCGCCGCTTGCCAGCGAGAAAACAGAATCTCTTCCACACGAGAGAGCCGCATCATCTCTCCGAAGCATCGGCCCCGAACTGCCATACACAGACCCAACGTCTGTCCTGGAACAGTTGCGTGTTTTCAGGACCAACATCGCACGTGCTTTAGACAAGAAACCGCCAAGGTCGAAGCATGAAAAACCTCCCCGGCTTCCTTTCGTTTCTAAGTGGGTCGATTATTCTCGGAAGTATGGCGTGGGTTTCGCACTCGAGGACGGTACGATTGGATGTCTTATTGGGGGGAACTCTAAACACCCCGTCACGTCAACCATTGTACGAGATGGACAGCGTCACCTGCTGAGGACGAAGAACGAGCCGACGTACTTGAGCAAAGTCCCGGTAGAGCACTTCGCCGCTCCCCACCCCACAGACAGTATATCCCCAGTTGAGATCCTCGACAAACAGCGCCGTGATCACTCTCGGCTCATCTGGCACAAATTCGCAAGGTACATGTGTGTTCAGCTTGATGACACAAAGCCCGAGAGGCCGTCTTCGCAGACTACATTTGTCAAGTTCTACCAGAGGCTGGGGAATGTTGGCTTCTGGGTTTTCAATGATGGTGCATTCCAGGTATGAGTCCTGTCCTGAGCAATATTTTCCAATACTGATGATTTATGTGTAGGTGAACTTCCCTGATCACACGAAGATTGTGCTTTCAGCCGATGCAGTTTACAGCAACTTCATATGTCTCTCCTTAGAGGCTCTGGCTTGGTTTGAGGAAACTGGAGACCTTCCCTGGAAACACATCAAAGACCGTGCTACTTTGCAGGGATCGGTGCAGCAGCTGCTTTACGGCTCCGCAGACCGGAGAGACCCTATCAAAGAGATGACGGAAGGTAATGACCTACGCCTCAAGCTCGAGTTCATCATGTCCGTGGTTGATGGCTGGATCGAGGGGGGTGGGCTGGGCTGCCTCTCTGAGCCAAGGTCATACATTTGGCAAGGCAAACAACTAGAGGACAACAAGAAGCTGGATTGGGCCAGCATGGGGCGCTTGGGAGGCGATGTGATTTGATGGTACCTGCATTTTGGAGCCGCCGCCGGTCGGCAACGCGATGGGCGTTTGAAAGTTGAGGGGCATTCGTATTCTTGGCATTGGCATTAGCATGGCGTTTGTGTGGGTGTCACATCACGACGGTCTTTGTCTCCCGAGGTTTTGATGAAATGGCTTGTATAGCGTTGGGAGCACTTGTTTATATGATGATAATAGGAGGTGCAGAAGCACTCCAGAGCATGATGCAGTCAATTCGTTTGAACAGCCGCGAGTTGTGCCTCTTGATGCGAAGATGGTATTGCCTTGACACGCAGAATTGCTCGCCTTTTAGCCTATGCGCTTTCTAGCCCTGAAACGCTTTCTAAAGACACTTAGAGCAATTGACCTGGAGCAATTGGGGCCAACCGTGAAGGCAGAGGAAAGCAGATTACCAGGTATACTTTAGCATGTGCTAGAGGGGTGGGTATGTATTCTAGGGTATGTATTCTAGGGGATGTATTCTTAGGGTATGTATTCTCA